CTTGATTATCATTTGATGCATGTTTTGGGTGTGACAATAAAATATGAAGTAAACAAATCTCATCATGCACTGAATTATCTCTTTAATTTAGTATTCTGAAGGGAAAACAGAGACAAACATACCCTGCAGACACAACTCTGACAATATCTTTCAGATTAAGTTTAACAGATGGCGTTAGTACGTAAGTGTCATCTATGGTAGGTTCCTTATCCCCCATAGAAATCCAGTATCCTTCTATTTGTATAAATCTTCCTCCTCTGGGTTCTGGTATTGGCTGAAAGACATTACAGAAATAACAGATGATACAAATGGTTTTCATTTGTAACAAAGACAATTATTTCTGTATTAGAATCACAGAGAAGAGCTAGAATGCAACTGTCACAGGGAGAAAATCTCTTTAAAAACCAAATATTAGACCAGCCTAAAATATTTAGAGTTACCTACCTGCTTAAGGAGGCTTTTGATGTTGCCTGAGACCATATGTTGACAAATTAGCTTCTGAACTACTGGGTGAGAAATTCTGTCAAGCTGTGTCAGGAAGCTCAAACAAAAACCCTAAAAAGAGCAATTATTTTCAATTATCAACTAAAAGATTATATACATTTTAAAGAGCCATTTCTGTTTGACATTTGTCGACTTTTGCAAATATAAACTACCCAAGTAGTGAACTTAGAAACAAACCCAAAGAGAGTCACCTCATACAGTGAACGCTGAATGCTGTTACATGGATTTGATGCTGCAAATCTTAAAGCCCTACAAAGTGTGCGAAGGCTGTAGTGTGGTCTACGGCCAGTCCCATCCACCAGTTTTGTTTGTGCCTCTTTCCTCACAGATAAATAGAAACTAAAGAAAAAACAACAACAAAAAAACCCCAGTTACTGTAAAATTAATACGTCAGACATCAAAATATCTTTCAATGGGATTTCACCATTCATGACTTCCTTTCAAAATTCTAAACAACATCCCCGCCCCCCCACACGCACACACTATGTATGGATTACTGTAAGCCAGCACCGAAGCCCAAGAAATCAAGAACGTATAAAATCACGTTTTGCATTTCAGGGGCAATTTGGCTTGCCACACACATTTCTAGGAGTGAACAAAGCCATTTAGACAGATGCAGTTTTTCATGTCTTACTGAAAACCGCATGCCTAAATTTCACACATTGAAAACGATCTGCTTTATCTAAAGGAAAAAGAAGTTGCAAGCACATAAACTATTTCTGATCTACAGAGATATTCTGAAAAAACAACTTCCCAGCCTTCTAAATAGAGAACGATGATGCTCATTGTGGCAATGCTTAGAAATTCCTTTTTGATATTTGCAGGGGTGGCAGAAAGAGAAACCTGCTATCAAGATAAGGTAATACGCAGCATCCACAGAACACGGTTAGGTGTCATTCTTCCTTGACTACCTAAAGCTGAAGAGACTAGCACAAGAACAGAAAATAAAGTAATGGAATAATAATCTCTTTCGTGACTCATTTTATCAAGACTTCCAAAAGAAGAAAAAGGGGGCCAATAACTTACTTCACAATTCCTTGTACAATATTTTTGCTCACATTCAAGCCTCTCAAGTAGTCTGTGATAAGAATCTGTAAGTCTACTTCATTTTGTAGTTCTTCCACATAAAGTTCAGTAAACCTTTGAAACAAAGTTGAGCCATTAAGCTGTAACATTTCAACTTTTGATGACAGGTGTATTTTGAAATTTCATGATATCTCGATAAAGTTTGCATAAAACATACCATTCCAAAACCGTAAAAGCAACAAACATTATCTCATGTGTCAACATCAATATCTACTAACTTGTAAGAGGGTGTAACACATAATTAAGGATTAAGAAAACATGGAGCATACCTATTCCAAAAAAAATTCCTTTGAGCAATCATTTAAAAGACAAAATTAGCTTGGCAAGATGCAACGAAAACTAAGCAGGCAAATTTATGTACTTAAACTAAATTACCTATATGTGTTCATTATGGGATTTCATGCTGTCATCTTGTTGATTCCACATAACTTGTGATTAACAAATATAAAAGCCGAATTTCTACTGGTCCAGAAATGCAACTCGGAATGATCTGAGAATCAAGCTGGGTTCTTTTCTTCTCATAAGTTACCATTCACAATAATGGCTTCTAAAAATACTGTGGCAAGGCACTGTTTGTGCCTGCCACTTTTAGGGCCCAGCCAAGCAGCCAGCAGGTGCTTGATTGCAGTGGCCATTTTAGATCCCTGGCTGCCTATATAAACAGAGCAGTTCACTGCTGGCAGGCAGGCAGTAACATTGCCTGGCTGCAAGGCTGCTTGGAACATCCTGGAGGTAAGGGCAGGAGTTGTAGGGGATAGCTTGGAGGCTCCTGGTCCTGGGCATGACCTAAAACTGCACTCTGCTGGGAGCCGGTGGCCTGGTGGGCTCTCGTAGCACAGGAGCCTCTAGAAAATGCCAGGCCAGTTACCACCCCAGTGAAAGGTGGGTCGGGGCACCTTAATAACCCCAGCTCCCACAACCGGGTGGGTTACCCGCTAGTAGGGTTCAGAAGGCAGATGCAGGAGTGAGAGTGGGGCAATAGACTCAGAAGCCTCACCTGGGATCCCCCGACTGGTCAATGCTGGGGCCAGGACCAGAACAGTCAAAAGGGCCAGGGGCCCACTGCGAGGGATGCCCAGAGCTGAGGGCCTGGGGTTCTGGCTGGCCGGGAGGTGAGGCCAGGGCCTGTGTGGCCAAAGGTCCCAGGGGACCACACCCATAAGGGGAAACAGCTCAGGGAGCTAGGTAGCCCAGAATGAAGGCGGAGTAGGCAACCTGAGTGAAGGGATCCAGTTGGGGTCCAGACCGGAGGATTCTGGGACCCAGTGTGGGGCTGGTGACGTTAACAACCGTAGATGCCATCTGTGAGTCTTGGGCTGTGGTGTAGGGGAGCAACAGAGCCACAGATAGCGCCCCCTTGCATCGGGATAATAAATGGGCAGCCTCCCACCTAATTAACATCCTAATTAGATAACAACAAGGCATAGCAGGCAAGAAGGCAGGCGGTTGGCCTAGAAACAGGTGGGTGGGTCGTTGGTAGACTGGCCCCAAGAAGGTCACTGTTACAAATATTCTGCCCATTACATCTGTACAATTACACTGTGTGCTGGATATTTCAGTAGCTCATTTTCCTTCTTACAGCAACAAAATCCTGTTTTTGCCATTAATAACAACATATGTCTGACTACACACAATGAGCAGATCTCCTAGGAAAGATACTGACATCTTTCACAGAATTGTAGAATCATGCCTGCTCTCTTTTCAGACTAGTAACTGTTTTGTAAAAATTTCCTAGCAGTCAGTAGAGAAATGACGTAGACAAATGGTAGGTCCAGAACTTGCTGATGGGTAACAGTAAAAGAAAGTGCTCAGTTCCCAGTTTCCTGCCCAGGCAATCCTTTTGGCCCCAATATTCCCAACACCACATATCCATTTTCATAGAAATTTGTCTTCCTTCCAAGTATAGATGAATAAGCAGAGTTCTTTCTAGACCTTATCAACATATGAGTGTAATAAGAGGTACTACCAAGGAAGGGAAAAACCAGGCTATCATTATTGCCCAAAAGGAAAACTACCAACTTTTGCAGCAGTATTCCTAGCTGCTGACAGCAGAAGTGTAAGGAATGATCAAGTCCCAATATAGTATATTATTACTAAAATAGTTCTTTGGGTCCCATGCCTCAGAATTGTACCCGTCCTCCTGCTGTTCCATAA